TAGGGATAGGGTGGGATGGTAGGGGTTGAGGTATTAACAACTTAGCTTTGATGTAATATTTTTTTGGTTTTAGGAGATTAAAGTGGGTTACAACCATTTTACCCAAATCATATTTGACCAAATCCATATTTACCCATATTTTATATGGGTGGATTGTGATCCAATTCATATTCAATCCATTCAAATCCGATTAAATCCACCCATTTGACACCCCTAGTCTTGTACAACTACTAACATTTAGCCCGTTTTACTAAAACTTAATAATAAGATAATGTTAAGTCCAAAAATAATAAATAATTCTAACATTCTCCCACTTGGACAACATTAACTTAATTATAATTTTTTCAAAAAAAAATTATTTATAGAAATTGACTCTTGGGCTGAATAGATAGTGGCCATAAATATGTAGTGTTGGAATGTCATTTTCCAACATGGTTTAGTCAAACAAAACCATTGACACCGAAATAGAATACTATTTGCACCACTCAACGACACAAGACCTATCCATAATTACTGACATTGAAGTTTTGTGGATATAAATAGATTACAGATCGATTTTTTTCATTAGAAGTCCTTCAAACGATTTTTCGTAACATGTGCACCATAGAAAATTGCAATTTTCTCGTATAAACGTTAGTTATATGATTATACTTTTATTTAGTTCATTTTTCAAGAATATCCATTATTTTTATGCTTTGGTTCACGAACTTGATGTAAAAATTGAGATTTTACCCCTAAGAAAATAAATTTTGAGGTTTTGAAGACCAATTCGAAGTCAAATTTGACTGAATAGATATGAATTTCCTAAGGAATGGGTAAACCAATTGTGAAACAAAATTACAGTTTTGATTATCTTTGAAAATGAGAAATAACTTATGGCTTGGTATTCATCTTTATGGAATATAATTGTCAATTCATTTTGTTCCTTTTTCTTCTTTGATTATGAAACATTGTTATGAAATTAGAAGTGTTTTATTTTGATACTAGTGGTGGTAGTCCGGGCGTTGGCCGGGCCCAACAAGAAAAAATTCATCTTACTTATTTTGTTATACATAGTAGATAAATCGGCAAGGACAATATGTGTATAAAAAGTATTGAATAGTGCAAGGTAGATGTTAAAATAGAAAAGTTGTGAAGATATGACTAACCATACTACGCAAATTTTGTAAATAAACTTAATAGTTGAGGCACACATTAATCTGTTAAAAAATTACTGTTTTTTCATTGAAATTTCATTCAACAATTCTATTTCTGAGAAGACGCCTATTTGTTGCCTCTCTACTTAAAGGTGCAGCTACAGCAGAAGCTCATTATTTTCATAAGCCTCTTTTGTTGTGCGAGGATGTTTTCCTGTTTGTTCAGGATTTCATTGCTAAAGGAACTAGGGTCTGTAAAAATGTGTTAAAACTCCAATGAGTTCAGCAGCTCAAAGTTGCAGTATCTTGAAAGAGTCAGTGAGACAATTACCTGTTACAATACGTTTAAATCGATGTCGTTTACATATAAACCATTCCGGATACTTTAAGGATGAGCTGTCAAATTTCATCATGACAAATAAATAAACAGTAATCAAATTTGGCATCGAATTTTCAGAATTTTTGAGATTCCGCACGAGGTGCCTTATGAATAACCACGGATCAAGTCGTTACATCCCATTGAGAGCTAGTGTGGGTGTCACTAACAACATGACAGGATCGTGAGAAAAACTCACTTCACTCTCTTTCGAATGTTTATTCCTCTTTATTTCTATGCTCAAACTCAAAACTTCTACCAGCATATGCAAACATCCTAATTTCTAGCGACCCAATGTCACCACAAGTATGAATCAAACTTATTAATAATTCAAGTTTCATTCAAAATCAAAATCACAAAAGATTAAAATATCCAACAACAAATCTTACCCATTCAGTAAAGTCAAAACCTAATTTTATTAAATTAACTTAACAATTTTATTTAATTGGTTACCCACTGCATGTTTGACTCTTAAATTATACCATTGTAATAATATTATGAAAAATAAATATATCTTTGTAATTAATGAAGTTGTGTGATTAGACTTTCCAAACATACCCTAAATCTTATTTCGTGGCAGAAAAGAGAGGAAGATAAATGTTGCAACTTCTGCAAATAATCTAACAGGTTTTGAAAAGTTTAGCATTAATGACATAGTATTGATTGACGAGAAACGTTATGGAGTTAATGATAGAATGAAAGATTCGAGACAGACCTAAATTAGAATCTAAAGATTTCATGTTAAACAGGATTAAAAATTAAGTACCTGTGCAAGATTAGGACTACAGTTTGAAATAAAACACATGAAAGATGCAATCACATATTACAATTTTTTCATGTTTGGTTCAATTTTAAAAAATATTTTCTTTAGAAACACAAGTTCCTTAAAAAAAACAAAATGACTTCCCGAGGGAAAACAAGTTCCACAAGTGGTAGTGTGGTACTCCACTTCTCCCTATCCTTTAACGCACCCCTCCCCCACTTCTATAGTGTTTGCCTAGATTATATGTAAAAACTTTTAAGACTATTATTGCTTTACTTACTAAACACCAGAGAAAATCACAAATTTTCCTGAAAAACATTTCCCCTCAAGCTAAACACACTCGAATGTCACTAATTTGCCAAATACTTCATTCAGCTCCTCCTTCAGAAGGCTTGACTTCAGCAGTGGTTGTTCGAGGGTTGGCTCCTCCTTTGGAAGTTCCTGTTGAGTGGCTTCAGTTGCTGAAAGAGGCACATCATAGTCTACGGCTGAAAATGAGGTCTTAACGGGAAGGAAATGAGCCGATTTAGTCATTCAGTCCACAACAACCCAAATAGAATCATACTACCGAGACCACATTCTTGATCACAGAAAAGTAAAAATTATCATCAGTGCATGATCTTCTCTTGATGTACTGTCAATAATGTCACACAAAAACATTACATGTCATCAAAAAACAATCATCACTTCATGTGGCGCATAAATTATCTAGAGTATATTTAGAATGCATAATTACATCGAACGGTAAGATTTGGATCTAAACTCTTCAATCTTTTTCCGTTCACCCAAGGAAGGTGTTGTCGAGACTTGCAAGACTTAAATTGAAAAATAATCTGTAAATCAAGTAAAAATTGCTAAATAAAGAAAACAAAATTAGTGCATGGAGACAAATTATCAATAGGTATCTAAATATATAAAATTCCGAAAGGAGTTTGTTCTCAAAATCCAAAATCAAACAAGTAAATCTAGACCAAAATAGTTGTCTGAAACGCCCTCATACGACACATTATTTTCATTAGAACTTCTAGGTAATTCATAAAATGCTAATTAACTCATGCTTTCTCAAACTTTTTTCCCCATTATTTCCCTTTTCCCTATTTATTGTTATTCTTTTCACAGTATATTAAAAAGAGGCTAGGGGGGTCAGAGAACAATTTTACAACCCTATCACTTTTCTCGGGTTCAAATACATATAAATTAGTTTGACAGTGAAACGGGGCATCTAGTTAATTAAGTGTCAACATGAATTGGTACTTTTAGAAAAGTTATTCTAGACGTAGATTTTTATTACCACACTAGAGAAACTAATTCTAAAAGGAACAACTTATGTTGACACTTAGTTAAATAGATGCATTATTTTACCATCAAATTCTTAATGTATCTGAAAATGATAAAAGTGATGGGGTGTAAATCATTTTCTTAACCCTTCTAGCCTCTTTTAATATACTATCAAAAGAAGAACAATGAATAAGGAAAAGGTAAAGATCGGGGAGAAAATTTGAGGAAGTAAGAGTTAAAATTTTACTAATTACCTTCTTCAAGAAGACCTAATCAAAACAGATGATCCATATGAGGATGTTTCATACAATTATTTTGGTCTAATTTAACTTGTTTGGATTTGGATTTTGAGGACACTTTTGGAATTTGATATATCTAGAAACTTATTGATGATTTGAAACCATGCACTTATCTATTTTCTTGACTTAGCATATTTTACTTGGTTTACATATTATTTTTCTTCTATTAAAGTCTTGTCTTAGCGACACTTTTCTTGGGTGAAAGAAGAAAAATTAAAGATCGTAGATCTAAAACTTATCGTTTCCGTATAATCTAATTATCCATTCCAAATGTTCTCTAGATTATTTATGTATTATATGAAGTGATGGTCCTTTTTTATGACTAAAACATTATGTGATAATGTCATGTAATAATATGGACTTAATTTTATGTGATAATGTGGACTTGCTGGAAAATAGTAACAAATAAAATGAATATAAGCGTACCACATTGTTTTTGTCTTCGCTTGAATGCATCATCTATGCAATTTCTATTAGAAATCTAGAAACTCAAAAAACACAAAAAAGTAAAAGTGTTTCATCAATTTCATATTCAACCACATCATCACACACAACCACAACGCGAAAGTAGTTGTTAGTGGGTGTGCCTATCAACTAGAAATGGTCCATTTTTGTGCTCCGAGAGAAAAAATACTCATTTTCTTGTTATTACATATAAATAAATACAAATTAGTAAAGTCTGAATTTCCTTCTACCAATAATATGGATCCACAAACAAGTTTAAAAAAATTAAGCTAAAATCTCTCAAAAATAGAATTACCAATGCTAGTAAATATATTTAGATAAAATCAAAATCACCCCATCCAAAAAAAAACCTAAAAGATCATTAAAAAAGATCAAATCAAATTTCTCTAAAGCATGTTCATTCAATTCGTTTGACTCGAATATTCTGAACACCTGTGAATATTTTTTAAAAAATTAATTTTTTTAAAAGAGAAGAAAATTTCTCAAAAGCATTTTCGTTCCATTTCGTCAAATGAAATTTCTCCAACAACGAAAAGTGTTACAAAAACATATCAGATAATTCCCCATTAAACCAAAGAAATAGAAACAACAAATTTTGAGAAGAAAAAAGTAGAACAATCTATGTTAAAAAAGAGTTAATCAAATGAATGTTTCACATATATGTTTAAGGATTGAAAAAACAAGGGGAAAAAGAGTGAAATTCATCATACATTTGCCACAAGTAAAGAGGGTTTTTCGAAACTTGAATCTGTTAGAATAAACTATAAACACAACTATTAATACTTCGTTAGATCGTGAACTCATATATAATATAGTGAAATACATGAAAAGATCGTGTGTACCCTTAATATTTGGCATATCAATGAACAATCAAAGACGAGCTAGGCTAGATCTTCCTTTTCTTAAGCTTACGACGGCTGACATCTTATGAAAATGCATTTTAGGTTAAGCCAAAAGAGGGGATCTATAGCCTCATATTTATAAGCTTAAAAATTTTAACCTAGTGTCTCCAATTATGGGTTCACTGGTCTTCAACAGGCCTACACTAGTGTCAGCCCACACCTATGACAAGAAATGAATATAGGCCCATATGAAATCCACAAAAATACATGATCTCTGTTTTGTACAACTATTTAACATTTAGCCTGTTTTACTAAAACCTAATAATAAGATAATGTTAAGTCCACAATTAATAAATAATTCTAGCATTCTCTCACTTGGACAACATTAACTTAATTATAATTTTTTCAAAAAAAAAATATATTTTATAGAAATTGACTCTTGGGTTGAATAGATAGTGGCCATAAATATGTAGTGTTGGAATGTCATTTTCCAACATGGTTTAGTCTAACAAAACCATCGATATCGAAATAGAGTAGTATTTGCATCGTTCAACGACACAAGACCTATCCATAATTACTGACATTGAAGTTTTGTGGACATAAATAGATTACAGATCGATTTTTTTCATTGGAAGTCCTTCAAACGATTTTTCGTAACAACATGTGCACCATAGAAAACTGCAATTTTCTCGTATAAACGTTAGTTATATGATTATACTTTTATTTAGTTCATTTTTCAAGAATATCCATTTTTTTATGCTTTGATTCACGAACTTGATTTAAAAATTGAGATTTTACCCCTAAGAAAATAAACTTTGAGGTTTTAAAGGTCAATTCGAAGTCAAATTTGACTGAATAGATATGAATTCCCTAAGGAATGGGTAAACCAATTGTGAAACAAAATTACAATTTTGATCATCTTCGAAAATGAGAAATAACTTATGGCTTGGTGTTCATCTTTATGGAATATAATTGTAAATACATTTTGTTCCTTTTTCTTCTTTGATTATGAAACATTGTTATGAAATTAGAAGTGTTTTATTTTAATACTAGTGGTGGTAGTCCGGGCGTTGCCCGGGCCTAACAAGAAAAAAATCATCTTACTTATTTTGTTAGACATAGTAGATAAATCGGCAAAGACAATATGCATATAAAAAGTATTAAATAGTGCAAGGTAGATGGTAAAATAAAAAAGTTATGAAGATACGACTAACCATACTATGCAAATTTTGTAAATAAACTTAATAGTTGGGGCTCACATTAATTTGATAAAAAATTAGTGTTTTTTCATTGAAATTTCAATCAACAATTCTATTTCCGAGAAGACGCCTAATTAATCAAATGAATTTTTCACATATATGTTTAAGGATTGAAAAAAACAAGGGGAAAAAGAGTGAAATTCATCATACATTTGCCACAAGTAAATAGGATTTTTTGAAACTTGAATCTGTTAGAATAAACTATAAACACAACTATTAATACTTCGTTAGATCGTTAATTAACACATATAATATAGTGAAATACATGAAAAAGATCGTGTGCACCTTTAATATTTGGCATATCAATGAACAACCGAAGACGAGCTAGGGTAGATCTTCCTTTTCTTAAGCTTACGACGGCTAACATCTTATGGAAATGCATTTTAGGTTAAGCCAAAAGAGGGGACATAGCCTCATATTTATAGGCTTAAAGTTTTAACCTAGTGTCTCCAATTATGGGCTTGTTGACATCCTTTGAGAGGGCGCAACGTCACGGTGACTCACCAAAAAATAGTAATTTAATTTTAAAAAGAATAAACGAATTTTAAAAAGGGAAAAGGGGATAAAAGGGAGTCGCCTTCTAATTTTAGAAAAACTAGGAAACTAATTAGCAAATTAACTTAAAAATAAATGTCTACCAAAACCAAAAGTTACTAGGTAAGAGGTTCAAGTTATTCTGAAGGGAAGGTGTTAGGCATTCTTCGAAATCCACAACTGTGGATCTCGATTGAATTCATTTTTTCAAATTGAGGAGGAGATAAATACAAATATACAAATGTAATAAGCAATTAATATACACAACTAATAAAATGAAACAGATATAAGAAACCGCCTAAAATTTACCTAACATCGATATATACAAAATCATGAATAAAGAATATAATTCGAACTTCATTCGAATAGCTTCAATTGAAAGCAACTCTGTGTACCTGTAAAGACACTTAGTAAAAGTGTTAGTAATGAATAGATATGAATAAAAATGAATAAATCGGATAATAACTTAAAAATAAAAACTCATCTTATTAACATGAGAGGCCTTGAAAATCGACGATAATTTCTTCATCGGCCAATTTTAACTTGTAACGAATATAAACATAAACTAAATTTCCGTCTTTTAAAATGGGAAAGCCTCCAAAATCGACGAAGAGATTTTTTCATTGGCCAATTTTTCAACATGAAATCGCATATAACTTAACAAAACAATATAAATTATTAATATGCAACATCTAATAAAACAATCAACATAACAAAACAATAAAATAAAATAAAAAATAACCAGTGATAAGAACAAGTAACAGAATTGGTTGGAATTTCTAGAATTGCAAATAAAACAAATCAAAATAATATGCAGTAGAGGAGATGAAAAATTAACATAGAATACTATAATGCAAACAAAAACTTAAATCAATTTAACAAAGAAAAATAGCACTTAAATCAACTTATTAATTAACTTTTAAAACTACATTGAACTAATAAAAAGGAAACAAGGAACCTGGTCACCGGACAACGAATTTCTTCGCCGGGAGATGAGTTAACCGTTTGCCGGAGCCGGCGTTGTTGTGTTGCTGGCTCGAACTGGAGCTCGGAGCTCATCGAGTTTCGCCCCAAAAATGCATATCTGGTTGTATTTAGACTCCTGCAAAACAAGAAAAAATTGTAAAGAGAAAAGGGGATGGGACTGACCATCGTTCTTATTTTTTGCTCCGGTTCATCGGAGTTTGAAGCTCCTCACCGGAGCAACTTGTTGCAGCGAGCAAAGGGTAAAAAGGGGTTTTGGTGATTTGTTTCAAGTTGAAGGTTGCTGGAGGATTTTGGTGGTGGTCTGGTTGTTTTCAGATGCTGGAAAAGTGAAGGAAAGGGGATGGGTTTGTGGTGGCTTTGCCGGTGGAGTTTTGTTGGTGGCGAGCTTCGAGCTCGCTGGTGATTTCGCGTGGAGATCTGGTAGTGTTGTTATTGCCGGCTGTCTCAGGTTTTTTCTCCAGCGGTGGTGGACTGGTGGAGCTTGTTGGGTTACCGGAAAACAGTGAGAAATGAGGAGAAACATGGGTCTGTTTAAACTGCTGGGTTTGGGGGACAGTGAGGAGGAAAGCTGGAGTTTTAAAAAAATGGTAGTGTCACCCGGAAAACATAAAGGGGTTTTGGGTGGTGGATTCGCCGAATTTCGCGAGAACTCCAGCGATTTGCCGGAAAAATGAGAAACAATAATGGAAAACTTTTTGAAGGCTAACAAATTTGAAAATTACCCCTAAAATTTATCCATCACCCCCTAACTTAAAGCAAGCTATTCTTTAAATAGAGAATTGAAAATCATCAATAGTACAATAAAACCAGCGATTAATAAAATATCTGTATATGAAATCTTATTCATATCAGAATAAATTTTTGGACTGTACAAAATATTAAAATGAATATTAACAAATGTAACAGATAAAATGAATATGAAAAATTGTAATGAATGTAACCAATGACATGTAAAAAATGCAATTTAACAGAAATAATGATTTTATGGGAAAAAAAAATGAATAAATATTTAAACGTATTCAACCGGCTATGACAAAATAATATAAACAGAATTAACCGATAAAAATCCTATACTTTGAGAATAAAGATAATTATCAACTAATTGCATCAAAATGACAAAACATGTATTTTGAACTATTTTTAAAAAAAAAAACTTAAAAAGTATTAACTTTAAAAATATCAGACCAAAATTTAGTGTCAACAGGACTCACTATAGGGGTGTGCATTGGTCGATTCGGTTCGGTTTTATGTATTATCGATTCAGTTAATCGGTTTTCGGTTTTTAAATACGCTTAACCAATAACGAACCAATAAGATAATTTTTTATCAATTTTGGTTCTTAAAGGTTCGGTTTTCGGTTTGATCAATAAGAAAAAATGCTTATAAAAAAAATATATGACTTCTCTAATAAATTTGACACGGCAAGACAATAATGTAACTTTACAAAAGCTCATAAAATAGAAATAATAAGAACAAACATGAAAATGACTATACATGTGTATAACACAAAGGGAAACCAAGAGGAATATGGTTCTTACTTTAAGTTTTGACGATTTGTATAATTTAAAGTTGTGAACTCAAAGCCACAGCGAAGTATGCATTGAAGGCTAAATGACAAAGACATAACTATTAAGATATTGAGATTAATATTTACTAATATGTATGTATATGTAAAAGTAGTAGATTACTATAGTCTTAACTCTTAATGAGTTATCGGTTTACCCAATAACCCAATATTGAAAACCAATACCAAATTGATAACCCAATAATTTTTTTTATAAAATCATTAAGAAACCGTTAACCCAATAATCCAATAGCAATAAATCAATAACACTTTTTTCGGTTCGATTTTGCACACCCCTAACTCACTGGTCTTCAACATGCCTGTACTATTGTCAGCCCCACACCTATGACATGAAATGAATATAGGCCCATATGAAATCCACACAAATACATGATATGTGTCTTGTATAGGGGTGGAAATTTCAGCTCATATAAATGAAATGAAACCATTTAGCTCATATTAAATTAAATGGATAACTCATATTTTCTTAAATGGGTAAATATGGACGTCAACCTATGTAAGTTCATATAAATATGAACAAAATGGGTAAAGATAAGAATCCATATATACTCATATTTCACTCTTTTATCATAAAAATCCCTAATTACACTATTTATTTTTGAAAATAAAATATAAAAAAGGAGGTGAGGGTGGGGGGTGTAGTGGGGTGGATGTGGTGGTGGGAGCAAAAGAATTTTTCTTTTGGAATTTTTATAAAACTTTTTTGGGTGTGGGTGGGAGGTGTCCTAGAG